CCCTCTCCCCGGGATCCCCCCTGGCTGGCAGCGGGGCTGGGGGTCCCAGCTGTGCCCCTCTCTCTACCGCAGGTCCAGGTGCTGGCCGGGAAGGACGCGGGGAAGCAGGGGATGGTCACCCAGGTGGTGCAAGCCCGTAACTGGGTGGTGGTGGAAGGACTGAACACGGTGAGGCTGGAGCAGGGAGGGCTGGAGGGGGCTGTGAGGAGGCCGGGGAGGCCACGGGCTGTCAGTGACCCCCGCTGTGCCCTCGCAGCACTATCGCTACATCAACCGCACAGCCAAGTACTCTGGGACCTACATCAGCAGCGAGGCACCGCTGCTGCTCAGCCAGATCTGCCTGGTGGACCCCGAGGACCGGTAACGGCCTGGGGGGGAGCTGAAGGAACCCCAGTGCTGCCCCCCACCTCAGTCCTGCCCCCTGCCAACGCCGTGTGCCCACAGGAAGCCGACGGAGGTGGAGTGGCGCTACACGGAGGAGGGCGAGCGCGTCCGCGTGTCGCTGCGCAGCGGCCGCATCCTGCCCGTGCCCCCCCAGCCACGCCAGGACGGCGTCGTCCCCGAGCAGTGGGTGGGTGAGTGCCACGGTGGCAGAGGCTGGGGGGATGTCCCCGGGGGGACACAGGGAGTCAGCGCTGTCCCCTCACCTGCACAGATGGCCCCAAGGACACATCAGAGGAGGATGCGCTGGCCAAGACGTACCGGCCATCCCTGAAGACCTTCGAGGAGGAGATCATGGATGCCATGGGGATCGTGGAGACACGCCGGGCCAAGAAATCCTACTGGTATTAACTGGAGGAGCTGGAAACCTCCACAAGCTGGGCTCTGCAATAAGCACCTCCCTTGATTTTTTGTGTTAGTAGCGTGCAGTGTTTTTGGAGCAGCACTGACTCACTCACACCCAAACCATATGAATCCTGGCTTTATTGTGCTCTGTGCCCAGGGCAGTGAGGGCTCTGCCCCACTCTGGGGGACTCTGATTCCCCCAGATCCTTGTCCTCGCTGCTGTCTGTGTCCTCACTGCTATCCTCACTGTCCCTGTCCAGCCCGGCCAGCACTGTGGCCAGCGGGGTCCGTGCGGCCACCAGCACCAGGTTCCGCGGAGAGAACCGGGGGTTGAAGAGGGGCACAAGGGCACAGTGGAAACCTGGGAAAACGGCAAAGGAGAGTCCCGAGAGCGGAGTGAGGGGTCCAGAGAGAGAGGAAACAGGAGGGGGAGGATCATCCTGGCAGCCCTGCCCACACCCACCTTGCTCCCGCAGGTAGAGCAGACGGTCAAGCAGGATGAGGGTCTCCACGGCAGGTGCCAGAAGCTGCCCCAAGGTGCAGAATGCCACCACCTTGTGCTGCTGCTCCAGCATGGCCCCCACGGCCCCCGAGTCCAGCGGAACCCCCGCTGGGTCCAGTCCCGCAAGAGGCAGCCCCAGGTGGGCGTATCTGTCATGAAAGGGGGCAGGGGAGTCCCAGGCAGGACTCCCCCGTCCCCAAACTCACTGTGGGGCCAGGAGGGGACACAGTAGAGTGTCCCTACTCCCCAAACTCACAAGGAGACTTCCAGAAAAGGATCCTCCATCCCCAAACTCGGGGCCAGCAGATGTCCCAGAAAGGGGTCCCACCTCCCCAGACTCACTGGGGACCACCAGGGGATGCAGAAGAAGGTCCCCCCGCCCAAACTCACTGGGAGAAGCTGAGGGTATGCGCCTTCCTGCCTGGCTGCAGGCCCAGGTGCCTCTTGGTGGGGTCAGCGGTGCAGATGAGGCTCTCGAGCACGGCACGGTAGCAGTGGGCTCGCAGCTGGGGACTGTCCCTGCACAGCCGCCCCTCAAACTCCTCCAGTGCGTGGCACGCGGCCTCCCGTGCGCGGTAGGACAGCTGGTGGCCCGGCAGCGCGGCCACTGAGGTGCTCAGGGGGTAGCCTGTGGGGCAGCCGGGGGGCTGCGGGCGAAGTGGCTCAGCAGGGCCGGGCTGAGGTCCCCGCAGGCGTGGAGCCCCGTCACCAGCACCCGCCCCCCGTCCTCAGAGCCTCCCGGGCCCCCCAGCGGGTTCCTGGCAGCGGGGCCGGGTCCTGGGGGGTCGGGGGGCAGGAGCTCTCCCCAGGGAGCTGCGGGGT